GGTTAATTTGTTATTAATTGTTTTATTGAGGCGGGTTGGAAGGGCTCAGGCTGCATTAAAAAAAGTGAAGGTAAAAATATAGGAATAATATTAGGATTAATAAACTAATGTTTTTTGTACTGTACGTATAGAAAGCGTAACCTTAATTTTCTAATTCTAATTATTTTTAATTCTAATTTCTAATTCTAATTTTCTAATTCTAATTTTCTAATTATAATTTTCTAATTATAATTTTCTAATTCTAATTTTCTAATTCTAATTTTCTAATTCTAATTTTCTAATTCTAATTTTCTAATTCTAATTTTCTAATTCTTATTTTCTAATTCTAATTTTCTAATTCTAATTTTCAAATTCAAATTTTCTAATTCTAATTTACTAATTTCCTTATCCTTGTCACCTAACGTCGTAAACTTTTGATATTTCTAGCTATGAATGAATCGCTATATAGAAGTCATAGTTTGAAATATCTAAGGTTTACGCCATCATGTTGCAAAAATTTAGAAGTTAGAAGGAGGGTCTTCGTTAGAGGACTTCTCACGTTTCTTTATTATTATTAGCATTATCAATTTCTAAATTACCAACTAGAAAAAATTTGGAAGCCAAGGTTGGATGGCTGCCAATAAATCGCTTAAATTCGACAACAAATCGATTAATTGGAAAGAAAAGTGGAATGCTGCAAATTAAATGTCAAAAATTTGGTGACTTTATCCAGGCCTGATTTCTAAGCTACGACTTAAACATCATATTTCAAGAGGGGACATTTGCCCGATCAGATGAAGATGATCCTCCATTTCAAGAGGAACATTTGCCCGATCAGATGATCCTCCATTTCAAGAGGAACATTTGCCCGATTTTCAAAGGTACCCGATTTACCTTCAGGTGATTAATTATGTGGAAGCTAATGAAACCGTATTTTCTAACGAGACGTGTAAAATAATTCTCAACATTAAACTAAATTGTTCTGTAAGCAGAAATGTGCAAATTCTTGATTAAACAAAGCTTTAAATGGTCATGTTGTGAATCAGACTTGCCAGTCTATAAATGGGGGGTAACTTGAAATTACAGTAAAGAAAAGCTGATAAAGAGTGTCCATTGCAAACCTTAGAAATGCTCTTGCCCCCCCCCCCTTATCTACCCCCCCTCCCCTGCTTGAGAACTAAAACAATTGTTTCCTATGAAGTTTGCCAATTCTCAAGTACTCTAGACTCCAGGCATGCTGCAACAACAATGTTTGGGAAAAACATGCTGCAACAATAACCATTAATGTTTGTTAGAAGAAAGCTTAGCCAAACTAAATCACGTCTGATAAAAAGCAAAATAAAATCATATCTTTAAAAAAAGGTTTTGTTCCCCAAAATAATTTACGGAAATTGAGGGAAACCATAACAAAAACAATTTAATATATTATTAATTGTGAAATAAGAATTGAAAAAGGTTTTGAAAATAAGAGAAAATAAAAAAACTTGTTTTAACATTATTTAACATTTACGAGGTAGGGGGGTGATGCTAATTATATTTCATAGTAAATAAATGTACAAGGCACACCACCCATACACAGCTAGACGGTTGATTGATCAACCATGAAGGGGGGGGGAGTCCCCCCTTCATAAAGTGTGGGTGGGGTGCCCCCCTTCATAAATTGGGGGGGCTCAAACTTTCAAACATTGAATTGCAAAGAAATGTATATTTTTTTTTAATCGACAAGAAAAAAAATAAAACCATTTATTGAAAATATTAACGAAAAGGGGGGGGGGAAGGTCATTTTATGTTTAATAATATAGTATCTATAATATAATTGGTCATTGTACAGATGATCTTTTGGGGGTTTAGGGGGGGGAGGGTATTTGAATATTAGTGATAATTCACTTCCGCATTACAAATTTTGTATTTGAATGAAAGGTATCTATTATGTAATCTTTAATAGGTATCTATTATGCTAATTACTTTATAAAAATGATAATTTGATATGCTAATAATATATAGATAGTATTTTTCAGAAAAAGGTTTAAAGGGTACCATTTGTGAATCGGACATTTATAAATATATTTTATCATTTTAAATTACGTCTTAGGTCCCTTTAAGACTGGAATGATAATATTGGAAGGGAAGGCTATGAAAAGGGGGATGTGGTGGAGGGGGGGTTAATTAAAATGTGACAAGTCTAATTTGCATATGCAAGAAACATGAAATTAAGAAATTCATATTCTTAAATCCAGAATCTTAATTTGAATTTCGAATTAATGGATTTTCCAATATGCTCACGTCTCAAGGTTATAATGCAAGGAAAGTTAATTGCAGTTGCGTACATTTTGCGTTCTCTCTGGGTGGAATTTGTAAACAAAAATAGATGCATCAGTGTTCACATAATAGTTTCCTTTAACCAGAATATTTGATTGTTTTTTTATGTGAAAGATGGATTCCACGTCAGTCAGTCACATCCGACTTGTGTCTGCAATCTGCATTACCGTCCAGAGACAGTATACTGCAGTACAAAAGATGTGTACACCTCTGAAATAACTTTCCTTGCATTGTAACCTTGCTCATGTTTTCACTTGTAAAATTGTACTCAAGGGAAATAATTACTGGCAACATTATCTATTTTTCTAAATAATTTTGAAAATTAAATTTTAAACCATAAATTGTGTTAGATCCACTGATCAAAGTTTAAAATGTCAAAGTTTAACAAATTTAGGTTGCAAGCTTAGGGGAAACTATTAGATTAAGTGTTCAATTTCTAAATACGTAAAAGAGTCCTTGCATTGCTCACACACAGTCCCTTCTAGATTCTAATTTTAAATATGTTTTTTTATATTTAGAAGCAAATCTATTTTTAGGTATCATTTTGTATTGATCGCTTACGGCTGAATTATGTAAAAAAGTGAAAAAATATTGAATCATTGAAATCTTTTAATGCTAATCAAATCCTGAATCTGAATAAACAAATGAATGAATTAATTAGTGAAATACTTAATGAATAAATTAGTTAAGCATCGTGTGAAAAACCTGAAAACGTCCATATGGTTCAAAACCTGGCTTAGTGCTAGATTTCTCTTAATTTCTATATCTTCTCGTGTAATTTATTTATTTCTTTGTATTACGATATATCTGTCTCGATTTTCTAATTTGTTCATTAAAACAAATTTCAGAAGTTTAACCAAGAAATAAAGGAACCGTTGACATAATATGACGGAACGACGTGAGTTCTGTCCTTTTCCTTTATTGTCTCTGCAACTTAAATCCACAATTGCAGATGTAATAGATGTAAACCATAATTTTGCCGTTTATTTTTAAAGGAAAAACAAAACGTACAGCTCAATTTATTGTATTTTGTAAAAATGTAAAAAAAAACCTTCAAAAACCATTCTGCATTAAAAATTATTAGGAAGTATAAAAAACAGGAGGGGTGGATAGAAGGGAGGGGGGAATTTAACTGAATAAAACATTCTAAAATTATAATTTTGAAGCACCCCCCCCCCCCCTCCGGCCCAACACCCTATTTAGTCTGTCATCTGCACATTGTTTTTGTATAAACAGTCTGTCTAAAAAAAAATTTTAATCTTAATATTTTGATATAATTTGTATACTTTAAATTTTCTAATCAATAACTTAATCTAAAATAGTTTTGCTAAATGTTGTTAACAAATAAAAATTTAAAGAATATTATTTTTGGGACACCCCTTGCTATAAAAATAATCTACTCGTCTTATATGGCGATGTCTCTTGTTTCGAACACTTCCTATTCTTTTTGCTTCAAGTATTGTGTTTAAACCCTGTTCAAAAGGTGATGTAACTTTAATCAAAAAAACTTTACACACTTTTTTTTCTTGTTATCAATACCTTTCCAGAAAAAGTGACTTGAAAAAAACTTGAAAATGAAATAAAAACTAAATTTCTTGTTAATTTTTAATGAAACTATTTTTAGTTGGAATCTTTTAAATGAATTAAAAATGCCCTCCTTACAGAGATATTAATTGGTCTCTCATAAAATATATTTTAGTTTCGACTAAAGGAAGATTGGTAAATAGGCAAGGAGAGAGTTAAACTTAATCTCTCTCTGTCCATTATTATTTTTTTCTACGATAATTTGTTTCGACAGTTGAAAAGTATGATCTGAGACCGAACTTAAAGAATTTGAGCCGCGGCTAAGATATGGTTGGTTTCACTTTAAATTGTATTAAATTTTTCAAGATTTAAGCCGGCGCTCAATTGAAACCGGTTTTTGGGGGATTTGAGACGCGGCTTTAATTCATTAAATTCGGACCCTGAAGTCGTTATTAGAACCTAATTGCAATGCATACGTTCAGTAAGTTAAAAAAACTTCTTTTTTTAAGTTCCAAGACAAAAATTATAATTACTTGAGAAAAAAACAGAAGTGAATTTGAAATTTTCATTATTTTTTTTTCTTGTTGAGTCAGTAACTTGAGACCTCGATGTAAGTATATATTGTGTATGTTTGAATTCATTATTCAAATTAATTCTGTTTAGAATATATCTTTTTGTCACAAAACACAGTGAACAAGACCAGCTCGGAGGGATGGGTCTTCAAAAGGCACGGGGGGAAGGGCGCCCATACTTCCTAGTTTACAGTACACCGGACAGAAAAATAGGCTTGGTAGATGTAAAAATCAGAGTTAAATGTCGTAACATTACAAAACAACTGAAATTTTAAATCTTCATTTTTTCATATTTTTACTTTTAAAAATTAAAAATTTGAAAAAAGGTTTGAGTTCCAAGAATTCTGGTTGAAAAAAAAACAACAACAAAGTAAATCATTCAACCATGCATCTATCTATACATGAAGTTATGAAATCTATAAATTTAAGTAAATGCAGTATTATCGGTATTTTGTTCCAACACTTACACAGGGGTTGAATTTTTTCCGGGAGGGGGGGGGGGGGTGAAAGAAAATAGTTATATTTATATCAAACTTATCTATTTCTGAGACCATCTGAGGTTATAAAAGTTTAGTTGTAAAGGGATATTTTAAGTTAAAAACTCACATTAAATATATCAGCATGTATATACTGATCACCATGGTAGCTATTTGCCTGATGGTAACTGCTACCCTGATGGTAGCTGCTTGCTTGATTGACCGGTAGATGGTAGCTGGATGGATGGAGGGGGGTCAACCCTCCTGAACCAGACCAATCGTTCATTTCACACCCTTGGGACTATAGTTCTCATTTCACGGCCAGGGCTTGAGGCTGAGTCACTACTAACATGTGTTCCCTCACATATGGCCTCCAAGCAGCCTCTAATATAATATAATAACGATTCACGACGCTCTAGCAGCGGACATCTTTCAAAGCAAAATTTGTCCGTGATGTTTCCTGAACAAATGTTGGTATTCAACTGAGTTGAAGAGTTCTTGCGTGAGCCTGTCTACTACCATGCAGGCACGCGCTAAATCCAGTCCTGTTATTGGTTGAAACAGTTTTCAATCTGAGTTCTGATTTGTTCAAATTATCGTCATGCACTGATGCCGAATACCCCTTTCA